ATTGGTCTGTGTGTCTGTTCTTGTTCCAATACCATGTAGTTTTGATGATTATGGCTTTGTAGTATAGTTTGAAGTCTGGGAGTGTGATGCATCCATTCCCTTCTTTTTTTTCAGGAGAGTTTTGGCTATTTGGGGTTTTTGGTGATTCCATATGAATTTCATCAATAATTGTTTTATTTCTTTGAAGAATAACATTGAAATTTTGATTGGAATAGCATTGAATCTGTATATTGCTTTTGGAAGGATGGCCATTTTAATAATGTTTATTCTTCCAATCCATGAGCAGGGGATGTCTTTCCACTTCTTTGTATCTTCTATTTCTTTTGACAGTGTTTTATAGTTTTCTTTGTATATGTCCTTTACCTCTTTTGTTAGATTTAATCCCAAGTATTTGTTTTTTTTTGTTTCAATAATAAAAGGGATTTTTTTTTTATTTCTACTTCTTCAGATTTATTGTTAGTGTATAGGAAGGCTACTGACTTTTGCATGTTGATTTTGTATTCTGCCATTTTGCTGAACTGATTGATGAGTTGAATTAGTTTTTCTATGGAGTTTTTGGGGTTCTCTATGTAGATTATCATATCATCTGCAAATAGTGATAGTTTGACTTCTTCTTTTCCTATTTGGATTCCTTGTTTGTCTTTCTCTTGTCTTATTGCTCTGGCTAGGACTTCCAGTATTATATTGAAAAGCAGTGGTGAAAGTGGACATCCTTGTCTTGTTCCAGATCTTAATGGAAATGCTTTCAGCTTTTCACCATTGAGAATGATACTGGCTGTTGGCTTGTCGTATATGGCCTTTATGATGTTGAGGTATGTTCCTTGTATCCCAAGAATTTCAAGGGCTTTTATCATGAATGGGTGTTGCACTTTGTCGAAAGCTTTCTCAGCATCTATTGATATTATCATATGGTTTTTATATTTCTTTTTGTTGATGTGTTGGATAACTTTGATTGATTTTCTGATGTTGAACCATCCTTGTGTCCCTGGAATGAATCCTACTTGGTTGTGGTGAATTATCTTATGGATACATTGTTGGATTCTGATAGCTAAAATTTTATTGAGGATTTTTGCATCAGTGTTCATTAGGGAGATTGGCCTGTAGTTTTTTTTTGTGTTGTCCTTGTTCAGTTTTGGTATTAGTGTAATGTTGGCTTCATAGAATGTGTTTGGTATTATTCCTTCCTTCTCAATTTTTTGGAAGAGTTTGTGAAGGATAGGCACTAATTCATCTCTGAATGTTTGGTAGAATTCATTTGTAAATCCATCAGGTCCTGGGCTTTTGTTTTTGGGGAGGTTTTTGATTACCATTTCAATTTCGCTAATTGTAATTGGTCTGTTTAGGTGTTCTATTTCTTCTTTATCTAGCTTTGGGTGATTGTAGAGTTGTAGGAATTTGTCCATCTCCTCTAGATTGTTGAACTTGTTTCCATATAACTGTTCACAGTAGTTACTGATTATTCTTTTGATTTCTGCTGTGTCCGTTGTGATTTCTCCTCTTTCATTGATGATCCTGTTTATTTGTGCTTTCTCCCTTTTTTCCTTTGTGAGCCTGGCTAGGGGTGTGTCTATTTTATTTATTTTTCTGAAGAACAAGGTCTTGGTTTCATTGATCTTTTGGATTGTTTTTTTAATTTTGATTTCATTTATTTCTGCTTTGGTTTTTATTATTTCTTTTCTTCTACTGGTTTTGGGTTTTTTTTTTTGTTGTACTTTTTCTAGATCTTTGAGCTTCGAGATTAGGTTGTTTCTTTGAGTTCTTTCTTGTTTCTTGATGTGAGCCTCTGTTGCTATATGTTTTCCTCTTATTACTGCTTTTGCTGCATCCCATACATTTAGGAAATTGGTGTCCTTGTCATTCAATTCAAAGAATTTTTTAATTTCTTCTTTGATCTCCTCGTTAGTCCAGTAGACTTCCAGTAGTGTGGGTTTCAATCTCCATGAGGTAGGAGAGTACCTTGCCTTCTTTTTATGGTTTACTTCTAGTTTGATGCCTTCATGGTCAGAAAAGATGGTTGGTATGATTTCAATCTTGGTGTATCTGTTGATGTTTGTCTTGTGCCCCATTGTGTGATCGATTCTGGAGAATGATCCGTGTGCGCTTGAGAAAAATGTGTACTCAGATTTTTTTTTGGGTTTAGTGTTCTGTAGATGTCTGTTAAGCCCAAGATCTCTTGATCCTTATTTAGAGCTTTAGTGTCTTTACTTATTTTATGTCTCATTGATCTATCCATTGTTGTTAGTGGTGTGTTGAAGTCTCCCACTACATATGTGTTTTCTCTGATGTCTGTTTTCAGAGAGGACAATAGTTGTCTGATACATTTTGGTGCTCCTTCATTTGGTGAATATATGTTAGTAAGTGTTATTTCTTCTTGAAGTATTGTCACCTTGATCATAATGTAGTGACCATTGGGGTCTCTTTTTATCTTTTTGAGTTTGAAATCTGTTTTATCTGATATGAATATAGCTGTTCCTGCCTTCTTTTTTGGTCCATTTGCTTGTAGGATTGTTTTCCATCCTTTTACTTTGAGTTTATTGTTATCTTCTGCAGCTAAATCTGTTTCCTGGAGACAGCAAAAGGTTGGGTTTTGTTTCTTAATCCAGCCTGCGACTCTGTGTCTTTTTGTTGAAGAGTTTAGTCCCTTTACATTTAGAGTTAGTATTGATATGTTAGCATCTGTATTTGCCATTGTGTTTGTCTTTGCTTTGATTTTATTTATATATTCTTTTAATAACTTTTTTTTTTGGCCTTCTTTTGTTGTTATTTGTCCCTCTGCGGTTCTGGCTTTAGGACTCCTTGTAGTATTTTTTGGAGTTGGGGTTTAGTTGTAATGAAATTCCAGAGTTTCTGTTTGTCTGGGAAGGTCCTTATTCTTTCTTCATAGAGGAAGGAGAGCTTTGCGGGATAGAGTATTCTTGGTTGGCATCTGTTTTCTTGGAGTCTGTTGACTGTGTCCCTCCACTCTCTCCTTGCCCATAGTGTTTCTTTGGAGAAATCTGATGTCAGTCTGATTGGTTTTCCTTTGAATATTATCTGTTTCTTCCCTCTTGTCAGCTTCATTATTTTTTCCTTGTCCTGGATTCTTGGAGGCTTTACTATTATGTGTCTTGCTGTAATTTTCCTTTCGTCATGGAAGATTGGTGTTCTTCTTGCTTCTTGTATATCAATTTTCAGCTCCTTCTTCACATTTGGGAAGTTCTCTTCAATTATTTCCTTGAATATTTTCTCTGTTCCTACATCTCTCTCCTCTCCTTCTGGGATTCCTATAACTCTTATATTTCCTTTCCTCATGGAGTCAGATAGTTCCAGAAGTCTTTCTTTGGTCCTTTTCCTTCGTATTTCTCCTTCCTTTTCTGTTTTAGCTCTTTTTATTTCTGTGTCTTCAAGAGTACTTATTCATTCTTCCATTTCATCTATTCTGTTTTCATTGCTTTTCCCAGAGTTCTTTAGCGCCTCCATTAAGTCTTTGATCTCCTGCATTTCTTTTACTTCCCTCTTTAGGGACTCAGTTTCATTCTTCTGTTCATTAATTATTTTTCCCTTATCATTCTTTTTCTTTATGACTTCTGTCAGTTTTTTAATCATGGCAATTTTAAGTTCTTTTTGTGGAAGGCTCAGAAGTTCTTCTAGGTTACTCTCGTTGCAATCTGGTAGGTGGTTTTCTTTCTGTGGTGTGCTTTTTTCCTGAGGAGTTGCTGGGTTGCATGTGGTTTTTCTACTCCCTACTGCCTGTTTTCTAATTTGCCGTATTCCTTGGGACACTGTGTTGCTGATACTGGCCGGCATCTTGGGCGAATTTCCCAGCTCACCTCTGGCTCCTCTGGGAGACTTTTGCTGGTTTCACACAGTCTCCACCAAAGAAAGGTCCCTGCAGCAAAATGCCGGTGCCGGGTACGCGCTGCTCTGTGCACCCAGTCTACCCCAGTGGTGGGTGCCGCTCCCCTCTGGGCTGGGACTGCAGGCCAGAAGGGGCCTGGCGTGGGCGAGCCTCTCAGCTCACCTCTGGCTCCTCAGGGAGCCTTCTGCTGGTTTCACACAGTCTCCACCAAAGAAAGGTCCCTGCTGCAAAATGCCAATGCGGGAACGTGCCCCCTCTGGTCATTTTACATAAACTCTCTCCCATTACTTTGGAGAGGAATTGCTGTGTGTGTAGTTTTTTCAGTCATTGTAGGGATCTGTAGAGGTCTAACGTGGTGCAGAACAAAGAGAAAAAGGCAGATGGGTCTTAAAACACATAGTCATTTGTGTCACACATCTGGCTGTCAGATCTCACCTTTACCACCTGAACTTTCACCTGCTTCACACCTGGATTTGCCCAGCACAGTATATAAGATCAGCATTCCCAACCATGACCCAGCAAAATATCAAAACAAGTAAAAATAAAGTTCCATGTGTCTCTTCCATTCCAGAAGGTGTAGTATCTTCAAATCAGAAATGAAGAATGAGGCTTCATTATATATGTTCTACAAATTTCCCACCCTAAGGAAATTTAAAGGGTCATGTGTTTTGGTTTGCAGTAGTGTGGAAAAAATAGAGAAAAGTTTGTACGTGCTTCCCACAGTTTGTGGAAGAAATTGTCCTCAGAGCATGTCCTAGAGGAACTAATTCAGGAAAAAGAGCCTTCATTCTGAAATGCAAAGGATCACATAATATAAAAAAGTCATTTGGCTTATTTTAAACAGGTTTTTAAAATAATAATAAATTTAAACAGGTGTTTAAACTTATTTAAACACCTCCTTGTTACCAGTATCAGAGAGGAATATTAACACATCTCCACCAAGAGGTCAGATAAGGGCTGCCTGGATTTATTTCTCCCTCACATTCAGATTCAGTTACCTCATGCATCTAAGTCAGCACTGGCCTCGTAACACAGCAGTGTTATCATTCAAACAGCAACTAGAATTTTGCATCAGAAGAATTCCGACTTCTAAAGCTGAAACATAAATGCAGTAATTTTACCAGCACAAACCCCTCAAATTACCCTCAGGGTTGATACTCACTGTAAGTCCCAGGTCTCCTTTTGGTCCTTGTAATCCCTACTAGTGGGAGAAGAGTAACAGTCACTATAGGTTGGAACCAGTTAATTTATTAAATTACAGTAAGACTTCACAAATCATTTCTTGCCTGTTCTCCAGGAGATCCAGGCTCTCCGATGTCCCCTTTATCACCTTTCTTCCCTACACCACCTCGTTCTCCATGCTCTCCCTTCATAATATAGTAAGAAAATAAATTGAAAATGTGAATATTAAAGTCAAATAAGAAAAACTCTTAAAAGTGGGTTTACCTGCAACTGGTATCTTTTGAAGTCCTGTGGTTCTTGTTGATATAAATATACAGTGAGTGGAAAAACTGGGGACATTTAACTGACATTCCTCAGATAACACAAACCATTGATGCTGAATGGGAGATCTCAAGATGAAGAGACCTTGAGAAACCATGAGTTCAGCTCACTGCCTACAGGAAGTTCAACTGTCAGGTAACTTTACACCGGAGTGTATCAGATATCTTCTACATAGTATGTTGTAAGGATTTACTCATTGTCAGCTATTGCCCAACAATTAACTTTCAAGTGGAATTTTTTTCTCTGAGATTTGCAAGAAGAGGAAGAGGAAGAAGGAGAGAGAGAGAGAAAGAGAAAGCATACGAGCTTCCAAAGTTGCAGTTAGCTGTTGCTCTCCTAAGCCTAAGCATTTCTCTAAGGTCCTGCTGTACTTACCTTCTGTCCTGGGAGACCGCGGCCCATCACACCCTTTATCCCTGGAAAGCCTTGAGGTCCTTGTTCCCCCTAGACATGATAAGATAAAGTGTTGGTCCCTTTAATTTTCTAAGATAAGTCAGAATATTCGTTGGGTCAGAAACATACTTATTTCTCAGCTGTATTACAGCATTACCTAGTTTGGCTGGGAAGTATATGCCATGCAGTCAATGCTTTGCTAGTAAAAGTTTAACCTGAGGTGAAAGTGAGAGAGCAGGTTATAGCATTTCCTGTTTCTGTGTTAAAAATACTCCCACTTTGGCCAATTTCTATGGACTAAGTCACAAATAACAAATAGCTATTACTTCAATTATGGTATTGATGGTGATTTTTATCATCTTTTTTATATGCAAAAGTTATATGGAAAAAGACACTCACCTATTTACCACCATATTAAAAAATGAAACTGTTCAGATACACTTGAAAACTCCAATGTACTCCCACAATCTCATTTCCCTAAAGATAGTGGGAACTGCTGTCTAAAATTCATATGCAGCACTCATATCCATATTTCTATACTTTAACTACATATATATTTTAAAACAATCCATAAAATTATTTTAATATTTAAAACTTAAATGATACACTGATACATCTAATTTGTGTCTTAAACCTCAACATTATTTGAAATTTATCTGTGTACATATACATAGTGCTAGTTTGTTAATTTTCTTTGCTGTATAGTATTCTGGCAAATACATAGACTATAGTTTATTCATTGTCCTAGTGATGGACATTTAGGCTGTTTCTTTTCTTTTTTTTTTAAAGATTTATTTATTTTTATACAAGAATTGGGGTACACGCTAGAGGTGTGGGGGGTCAGAGGATTCACCAGAGACAGAGTGGGGAACAGATCAGGCAGATCTACTGAAATACACTGCTGAGGGGAGCAGCGGGCGAGTCAGGAGAGGTCTGCTGCACCATGTGGTTTGCTCCCTGGCCGGGGATCGATCTCATGCTGCAGTGGCTGCAGATTGCTTCATAGGTTGCATCTTAACCCCTGCACCACCAGGGAGGCCCCATAGGCTGTTTCTTATACTTACAAATATGTATCTTTATAGATATTTGCAACACACACACACCTTTGCTCTCATCCCTAATAGGGAGCACTTTCATTAAAACAACTCTTAGACCAAAGAGAACAAAAAGAAATGAATGTAACTGAGGAATCTCTTACTGAAGGGAAATACTTAGTTCTTCTTGCACTCGATCCTAACCCTTCACAGCAGACTGACAGGTTGAACTCTGAGTTCTTTTCAGCTTTGCCATCTATTTTTAAATGGATGCCAAGAGAGCGGTTAAAGTATGGCCTCCTGAATTCAACTCTAGAGGACTGAGAAATTCCTTACAGTGGTCAGATTGCAGAGACACAGGATGTCTTTTTCACCCTAGTGTCCCATGAACCATGCACACCACCACAACAGAGAGAGCCCACTACAGATGTTTATATGCATGGATGTCCTGGGCCTATTAGAGGAAACTCACTCCTAAAGAAGGAGTGCCTCTTTGTTAGTTGCTTAGTGAGAAGAAATAGACAGTGATCATAGGTCTCCTTTATTGAGTTTACAGTCAAGAGAGAATAGTCTTTTCCTACCAGGAAACTTGGTGGTATTGGGAGCCATAAAACCTTGCATAGGGATTGGCACCAATTAAATAAGCCTGAAATAGTGTACTCACACTCAGATTCCAAACTGGCAGAAGGACAGGAGAAAAATCTCTCTTTCCAAAGACTGCATTGATAACACAGATGTGATGCAGAGGAATAGATGGAGATGTATGGATAACACAGATTAACCTCATTATACTTACAAAAAATATGTCTTACTAAGACTGATCTGCAGCCTTATCTAAATAGGAAGGAGAGAAAGGTGTGCCTAGGTACAGACCTGATATGGCACAGTATCCTAGCAAAGTTGGAGTTACTGTGGCTTCATTGTCATGTCTTGAGGGAAAAGCTCAGAGTAGTCAATTATCACGTTAGTTCCAGCTCCCTGTTCAGAAATGTATTTTGCATTACTTTAATATAGACATTTTATATGTAATTGTTAACTCTGTAGTTATTCCAGGCAGCTGGATTTTCCTATAATGAAGGCAATTTCTTGTAATCATCAGTTTCCCTTCAAAATACTTGAAGGCTTCCTATAATTTCCTAACGTGGTTAAAAGCCTTTAACAAGTAAGTCTGTGGTCTAGCTTGGCAGAGGTGAATGTTTGTATCCAATCAGATTTACAAAACTCAGGAAAATGATAATCAACGATTTCAGCTTCAGTCAGAAGCAACTGCAGGAAAGAACCTGTCTATCGAAGGTATAATTAAATCCAAAATTCAGACCCAGCTCCTTTACCACTAGATCTCACTTTTGGATTTGTCCTGCTAAAATTTTCATTTTAATTTTTTTTTTTTAAGATTTATTTATTTGTTTATACAAGCACTGGGTACAGTCAGAAGCGCGGGAGGGTGAGAGAATTCACCAGAGCAAGAGCGGGGAGCAGAGCAGGCAGAAGGACCGAAGTACACTGCTGAGGGGAGCAGCAGGCGGCAGGAGAGGTCTGCAGGCCATGTGGGACCTTGCTCCCATGGCCAGGGAGCAGCTGGGAATCGAACCGGTGCTGCAGAGGCTGCAGGCAGCTTCGCAACCCAGCGCTCAACCGCTGCGCCACTGGGGAGGCCCCAAGTTTTCATTTTCAGATGACTGCTTAGCTTCTGGGATAGTACACGACACTTAAATATTTTAATAGATTTTTTTTATTACCGATACATAAGGAAACAGCAGTTTTTCTTTCCAGTAAAGTGCAGTAAGACAAAAAAATCAAATTTATAGATGATCAAGAAATATTAAATGAATATATGGCTTCACTGGTAATGAAGAAAACTAAAAATAAGTTGGTTTGATTCTTAAAACAACAACCAAAAATGCTTAACTAGTCTGTGAAATCACAACTTTCTTGGTATCCATTAGAGAGCATGGTTACAGGGCAACCAACTAACTAAAAATTTAAGAAAATGTAGGCTCCTCCAAGGAGAAACAGGACACAAGTGTGCATTTAACTGCTGGATACACCAGATGTCACACAAGCTGGTAGGAAATATTCAGCTAAACTTCATAACAAATAAACAAAAACCAAACTGCAAAAGGCTGAGTGATTAATGTGAGAGGCTAGAATTCCCCGGATCTTTCAGGCACAAGGGGAATTTACAGCCACTCACAGACTTTTCTCCAGGGATCTCACTGATGCTCCAGAGGAAGACTGGGAACAAGGAGGAGTCCAGATGCTTCCCTCATGGTGAAGACCAGGGGAAGGAGCAGCAGCCCTTGAGGGAAAGGCATGAAGCTGGAAGCTATAAGCTGCAAGATAGGACAAAACCTTAAGCTTCTGGGAGAAGAGCAGCCAATGCTGACACCTGAGGGCAAAGATGATGACCCCTGACAACTGGGGAAAGGAAAACAAACAAAACTTAGAGGAATGAATCCTGAGTCCCCAACCTTCAGAGATGATGACCTACTCCTTAGGGGCATCCCCAACCTAGACCATTAGAGGTTTCTTAAGCATTTTCTAGATCTTGTAGAACTATACAATAAAAAGAGTGAATTTTACTGTGTACAAATAATCCTTCATTAAAGAATGGAAAAAATTAATTAAAAAGAATTAATGGAGCACTTGACAAAACGAAGAATGACTACATGTTAAATAGTGTCTCAATGATACTTTTCTGATGTTTATAAGTTTTACTATATAATATAGTAAAATATAGTTTGTATTAAAATTAGTAAAGTATTTGGGGGTAGAGGAACATTCTTTGTGTGACTACTCTCAACTGTTTCAGAAAAATAATGTGTGTATATGCACACATACACCTATGAGGTAATGTTAACATTTAGCAAATCTGGATAAAGGCTATATAGGAATTAACTTTTTAGAATAATCTCTGCAACTCTTTTGTAAATCTGAAATTATTTTCAAATAAAAATTAAAATGATATATAAAATGAATGAACACACTGACTCAACTATCAACATGTAGGAGCTGAGCATATAGCTATGCAGGTGCTTTATCAACCCAAACTTTGGGAACCTGGAGGCTAAACAACACTGAGTCATCTAAAGTAATATCGCAGCGGTGGATTTCTCCCTACCAGAGGCAACTGCTCCTTGAATTAATGGAGCTTACACTGTTAGCAGAAACCTGTTTCCCTTGGGTTTACATTCAGACCAACAGTTGGTCTTTTAAATCAGCAGTAGATTGTCCCACTGGGACACACCAGTTTTCAAGCCTGAGATTGGTTCTGTACTACCATAATGTGATACTTGTCTGCATGAGATTGATATAAATGCTAATAGAGAAAGTGGGACCAGGAGCTGTACAGCCAGAAAGGTGTCCCTCAACGACAGTGTTCCCCTTACTGTTGAAGAAAGTGCCTGCCAAGTTCCCTCTATCATCTCCTAGGTGTTTAAATAGAGATAATTATTTAGGACATAGAAATAATTATTTCACATTTACAAAGAGCACTAGGACATCTCGCTCTTTAGGAAGGAAAAATATTTAGTTGTTCTGAGGGTCAGGACTTGTCCATTTCCTGAGACTAAAATATGGGAGATGAGCAAAAAACCAACTATGACACCTAAATGTGGCCCCAAACCCAGGCTCACGTCAGTCAAAACACGTCACCATTTTATTTTTTATCTTTATATCCTTTTAATTTTATTACTGAGTTGCTATCTTCCTTTTCCATTTCCTGCCAACAGAAAAAGAGCTAAAGTCAATAATTATAAAAGGTATCCAATCTCCAGTATTTCCAGCTCATCCAGTAGCTCATGGTGAATAAAGTACTAATAATAAGATAGCCGGGGAATTATGAATTTTCAAAGTGGGGAGTTAAAGCTTATTCAAGTGGCTTTTTGCCAGCTTGAATAAAGACACCAGCATTGTATTAAGATGTTGACTTAGTGGGTACATGGTGGAGTTAGTTAAACGACTGCCTGAGTAGTCATCTAGTTTTGGCGTAGATAGGCATTATTTTCTACTTCTCTG